GGTATGGTGGTCTACAAGGTCAGACGCCTGAAGTGGTTCATCGTGGCCGGAACCTGTCTATTCATGGTTGCGTTTGGGCTTCTGATTCACTACCGGGGGTCTCCCAACTCCTCCGGGCAGTCGGGTGTCATTGGTGCACAGGTCCTCTTAGGATTTGCCGGAGGTTTGTTCCCGTACCCAGCCCAGGCCTCGATCCAAGCCGCAACCAAGCACGAACATGTTGCCGTCATCACTGGCCTGTACCTGGCCACCTATAACATCGGGTCCGCTTTGGGAGGTGCGATCTCGGGGACCATCTGGACCAACGTGCTTCCAGGTGCGCTCGAAGAGAGATTGGCGCCACTTGGCAACTCTACCCTAGCAGCTTTGACGTACGCCGACCCCTTCTCAATTGAAATCGAATACCCCATCGGCACACCGGTGCGGACAGCCATCATCGACGCATATCAGCACTCACAGAGGTTGCTCTGCATCACGGGTATCTGCCTCTGCACGCTTCTGATCGGGTTTGCACTCTGTCTCCGCGATCCTAAGCTGGGTGATGAACAGAGTTTGCCCGACGCGGAAGAGAAGGAGGTTGTTCGTTGAAAGAGGAAGAAGACTGTCACTCATTTGGCTCCTGGATCTTGGGAGTAAGGTGAAGTGAACCCACTGGGAAACAACAGTTAGGGAGTCCTCTGGCCTACCAAGCTAACAACGACCACAAGCTCTAAGCTATAAGCTATATCTTCTATGTACACTGTCATATTTTTGTAATAAAAACCTTACTGCACAAATCACCTACTTACTACCTCGTACTGTTCTGACACGGACCTTGACTGTGATTGTCAACGGACAAGGCCTGTATTGGTCACCCCGACATTACGCAAACCATATTCCACCCACCCACCGGGTCGGGTGGAGATCAAAGGCTCTATTCCGCTCCGCTCAGCGCAGGCACGAGAGGGAACCACGAACCACATATTCACATATTCACATTTGTCGAGGGGTTTCTGGATTCTATTGGTTAACCAGGTCTTGATGCCTTGAGGACGATTAGGACCTTGCGCACAAGTCACAAATCACTATGTCGTCTTTCCTATGTGTGAGGACTTCCTGGCACACCTATGGGGATATATATGAGACCAGAGACCATGGTCGTCCACCAAGTCCTTCAGATGACAAGACAATACTTACCGTCAGTTTACTTTTCCTCTCCGAACGGCGAATTCACCTTGAGCAGAATAGAAACAGCACAACACACAATAGACTCACACACCTCCAGTAACATCATGGCCATCAGACCTCTCCTCGTCATGAGTCTCCACGCCATGGCCACAATCACAGCGGTGGGGCACCCGGTCAATACCATCAAGTCTGTCAGAGCAAGGGCCATTGCCGCAGGGCCGTCGATCGACATGTTCAAGCCGGACAACGACGGGGCCAAGAACATTGCCGGTGTGGTGGGTGATGTGACGGGTGTCATCACCGGCATTCCCATGGGCACTGGTGCTGGTGCCGAAGCTGCGGGTGCCATGCCTGGCGATATGTATGGCACACCCGCCGATGCGTACAGCCTTCCTGAAGATGCATACGATGCATACGACTACCCTGAAGATGTATACGATGAATACGGCTATCCTGAAGACGTGTACGACCTCCCTGCAGACGCATACGACCTGCCGGCGGATGCGTACGACCTACCTGACGGCGACGTTTATTCCACTCCCACCAATTACGACGAGGAACCCTCGAGGACGTCTCCGCAATATTCCAAAATGACCATCGGATGTCGGGCGAAAGGGTGTGACAGTGTGGTCAAGGTCTACGACCTCGCCATGCCGGTGCCGACGCACAGCTGTCCCCGGGATGCGCTCGCCGCCCTGGCCAAATGGCGGCTGTTCTGTGACCGACCTCCCAAGGTCTTCAACAATCTGATTCAGACGGAACCCAATTGCTGGAGCCGCGCGCCTTCCATCGACCGGTGCTGCGGCGAATGGGTTGACCTCGACGACCCGAAATACAAAGACTATCCGTCGCGCTACATACCGATGGAGAAGGGCTTTGCAGACGACACGTACGTGGCGTCCTGGATACCAGAGATGGGGGACCATGGGGACCGCCGCATCATCAAGCCGGGCTGGCACGAGTACAACGTGAAGACGGACAAGTGTCAGTTCTGGCGACCCGAGAACGAACTCGAGTTTGCGTACTTTATCAACACGCTGCCAAATTATGGGATTTGGGATGTGGATGAGACGGGCAAGATCTGGGGCCAAACCGCATGGAATGCCGAGGGTGTGTCTCCGGGGTCGCTGATACCGGGCTCTGACAGCGAAATGGATCTATCCAAGGCTGTGGGAGGTTGATTGTTGGGAGATGTTTGTAGTCATTGTGAGTTTTGGATGTCTTGGGCATTTGAGCAAGCGAGTTGTATATTTGGTTGGGCGGGGTGGAGCAATAATGAGACGGGGGGGGCTTCGTTATTACCTGTATTCTATTTATTTTCCATGTCAAAGCAGGTCTAGACCTGTGTGTACAAAAATCCTTGGATGAGATTGACATACACCATCACTACGCAGTAATTTGTTGTTTGTGTAACCGTCGCGGTGAATCTGTACATCAAATTGTTGATCCATGACGTCGCGTTGATGGTTGTGGCGTCACCACGCGTCGATGGCGTGAAACTCGGTAGAAAGTCAAAAGTCAAAGTGAAAGTGAAGCGGAGGTTGACAGTGAAAGCGAAGGTGAAAAGCTGCTGCAACAAAAAGGAATTTTCAGATGCGCTTCACACCCGGCTTCATTCTGCCCCAATTGATCGGATCGGCTTGTTGGAACTACTCTGGTGCTTTTGTCACTGACGCTTCTCAAAACACCTCATTTCATTGTATTAGCTGTTGAGCTCGGAAGCTGCGCCTCACCGGCCCTCAGCTCCCATCTCCCATTCACCAGCTTTCAGCTGCTCAGGTCTCCGCTCTAAAGCTTTCAGCTCTCGGCGCATCCTGAAAGCGCAGATGCCAACCCTCCCTTAACCCCTGAACTGCGTTCAGTACTTGCAACCCGAAGCATCTATTTTCTCTGCGTTAGCATTGCATCCAGTGCACTTATTCCCAACCGTCGTTGTTCTAACTGTCATGGCAGTATCGTAGTACCATACTCCTCCTCCCGATTATTGCTTCGTTATGGCTGCTCCTCCACTGCCCACGAGGGCCAGAACTGCTAATGATTCCGATGATGACGTCGTGACCGAGGGAGACCCTTCAAGCACCGCCGGCCTGTTGGTCGAGCGGTTGCAGGCCTGGAAACACATGTGTGGCTATCTTGAGAACTACATCTCTGCGGTTGCAAAGGAGCAGGCCGGTCGGGCCAAAGAACAAGAGAAAGTCTTGAAGACACTGTCGACTCCTCTCCGTGAGGCCCATCACTTCGATCCCGCGTTGGGCGGCGTCGCTGGTTTGTTTGAGAACTTGCGGGCCAACACCCAGGGGCAAATCAATCTGCACACCGAGACCTCCAAGAACCTCACGGGATCAGTGCTTCCCATCCTCGAACGTTTGCACGCCGAGATAAAGAACAAGCACAAAGAAATCTCCAACGGCACGGGGAAAGGGACCAAGGCTGTCGAGTCGGCGCGCTCTCATTCACAAAAGCACATTGAGCTGCTGGGCCAACAGGCTGCGCATTTCGACTCCTCTGGGGGCAGGGTGTCTGCACAACATGACCCTTACGTGGTCAGGCGAGGAACTCTGTACCGACTCAACAAACAGTTGCTGGAAGAGAACAACAACAGACAAGATCTGATTGCGGTCCAGAACTCCTTTGCCCAGTTTGAGACGTACGTCGTACAGACGGTGCAGACTGCGCTGAACCAGTTCAACCAATTTATGAGCGGCCAGGCAGACCGACAAAAGGCCATGTTTGGCGACATTGCCTCCACCGCAAGCAATATCCCGCTGGACTTCGAATGGAATGGCTTCACCAAACGGAACCAGCACATCCTGGTCAACCCGAATGCCCCAGCGAGGACGATGGATGCCGTGTCGTTTCCCAACGAAAACCATCGTTCTACCAAGCCGCTCATCGAAGGCACCCTAGAGCGCAAATCTCGTGGAATGGGTGCTCTCAAAGGCTACAGCAGTGGTCACTATGCTGTCACTCCTGCCGGTTATCTGCACGAGTACAAAGACAATGATAACTTTCAGAAAGACCCCAGTCCCGAGCACTCGTTATACCTCCCGGACTGCATCATCGGGGCTGTGGACGGGCAGAAGTTTACGATCAAGGGGAAAGACTCTTCGGGTAGTAAATTGGGGCAGAAGATGGCCATTACGTCAGATTTCCAGTTCAAAGCGCTCACCAACTCGGACGCGCAGCAATGGCACACAATCATTGCCAGTTTCGCCAATTCATCCAACAGCCTACCCACGAGCCCGACAGAGTCACGCAATATTACCCCCATCACCACCAGGATGGAAGAGAACCAGACGCAGGGCGTGATCAGCGGACCAACAAGTGCATCAACACCCAAGACTGCGCAGCCAACGAGTGCCACTTCTGCCGCCACACCGTCTTCGGCTGGCGCCTTCAATCCCGGGCTCGGTTCAAACTCATTGGAAGACAGGAAAACTGCGGGAAAGTAGGATGATTGTTGTGATTGCCCTGAGGTGAATGTAGGGGTTCTCATCTTTGTTCAAGCCCTGTTGAGTCGGTAATAATTTGATACCCACCAGCGTTTATTCCTTGTTGAAATAATTTATATTATAATGGGCTGAATGGGGCGAGAAAGCATAGTATCGTCACGTCACGTGACTATATAGGGGCAGCCTCATAAAACAACGTAACCGTCATCAATGCGAACTCCATACTGTTATTCCCACTCATTGCCACCGTCGAGTCCTTCCCTGTCTGCGTCCCTGGATTTTCAAGCAGCACCCTACCAGGGCGGTTTCGTCCGCTCGGCGTCACATATTCGCCTCCATAATGACTGCTGATCGACGCCCACAATAAGAACACCAACACGTATGGACAAGGAGGTGGCGAAAAGGGACAGAAATGCTGAATTAATGGGGGACAATATTATTGGCATTTATCTCTCGGAAGATGCATTCCTCTCTCCTGAAAAGAGTGAAAGTCCTGGGGACAAATTACGGCGCTTTGTCCATAGCCAAGAGAGAATCCAGAACCTTCGCCCGCTCGGTAGCGGAATTCACTGGGTCGTGTGTCTGGCCACGATTAAGGATACCCCATATGTGTTGAAAGTCGTGAGAATGAGTTCCACGTATCACAAACCAGAACTTGTCTAACGTGTTGCGCAGTTCTACAAATGGAAGCAACCCGGTCCTCGCTTCTACTCGTGCGAAGAGGCTATCTACATCACGCCGCTCGCGTACGAGAGTCGGGCATTTGCTCGACTGGACTCAAGCAATCAAAATGGCAATTGGGCTATCCGGTGTCATGGATGGATGAAGTTAGCGGATACCCAATTCAACATGATCAAGGATGTTGTTGCTACTTGTGGCTTGAGTAGCCATGACCTGAGCCGTTGGGTCATCGTCAAAGAATACGGGCTAACCCCGACAAATGCTTCTCATGTTCCAGAAATCCTCGAGAATTTTGTGATTCCCATGGAACTGAAAATATCACCGCAAGATCTTCGGCCTGAGAACTTTAGAGGATCGAAGATGGTCGACCTCTCGTGCGCCTTGACGTATCCGTGCCCCGGATGGTCGGAGTACGAATTCAAATTCTTCTATACAGACACCATTCGTGGGGTGCTGGATTGGTTCAAAAGCTAGCCAGGAGGATGATCTAAACATGCTTACGTCTTCTTCCCCGAATCTTTGCCCTTGAGCCTCTTTTGTACTCTGGCTCGCACTCTAAAATGAAATATGTTAGTGGTAGGCACTGTCTGTCGGAACACTTGAGGGTTTATACCTGGCCAGGATCACTTATGCCACTAGGTGGATAATAGTCTGTTTGAACAGAGAGATCCTTCCTAGTCTCCATATGGAGCCACGATAGTTCCACGGGATACTTCTGAACTGGAATGGTCGGTATTCAATGTTCGGATTTGCGTCATCACCGAAACTGGAACCCGTGTCGAGAGACATTGCTTGGAGTCCCGAACTAATCGTCTCGGTAGAGAACGTCCGTGAGTGGGAGGGTTGGTTTCTTGTATTCTGTGGTACATTTCTAGACGGTCTTGAGGATGCTAGGCCTTGCCCTAATGATTCTCTTGAAACACGTGTACGCCGAACCTCTACCGATCCTCGTACAATATAATCACACTTTTCACTTTTTGTTAGAGGGTCATTCATGACCTTTTACCATTCGAGACGACCATTTCTTTTCCTTTTCCTCCTTCACCCCCAAGAGACTCATCGACCAACCCGTCTAGTTTTATCCCGTCAAGGTCAAAGCCCACGAGCCCGCTCCTCTTGGGGATGAACTGCCTAAGCAAGACGCCGGCGTCGCGCAAAACCTTGCGGGATGCGTCATCCATGTTGTAGCTCTGGGAGTAGACGACCTCCTTGACGCCGACCTGGGCGATCTTGACGGAGCAGGTCAGACACGGGCACGTGTCGCAGTAGAGGACGGCGCCGTCGCGGATGCGCTCGCGGCCGGCCTCGAGCAGTGCGTTCTCCTCGGCGTGCAGGCACAGGCACGTGTTGAGGGCGACGCCGCCTGCGTTGCCGGACCCGTTGCACCGCGCGCACCCGCCCTCATTGCAATTCACTAACCCCCGAGGCGTGCCGTTGTACCCGGTGCTGATGATACGGGCGTTGTGCACCAGCACGCACCCGACCCGCCGTTTCATGCAGTTGCTCCGGTGCGCGGCCAGCGACGCCAGCGTCATAAAGTACGCGTCCCATGTCGGGCGGAGACGGAGGGGCGATGCGAGATCGAGCGTGGAGAGGAATGCGTGGCTATGGGTTTCCCCGAGAGATAGAGAGAGGGTAATTTTAGTTTTGGTTTTCAATCGCTTGAGTTCTTGGGATTTGGTTTTTGGTGTTTGGGTTATGGAGGTGCGGGAAATGGGAGATCCAATCAATCTAGGGAGACGGCCATATTATGGAGGAAGATATGCAGGAGGAGGAGAACTACTTACTATGTCGAGATACTCGGAAAGGAGTTGAGAATAGACAAGTGCGCGTGTGACAGCAGAGGGAGAAGCGCTGTCTTGGCTGGTGAATGGTTTGGAGGTTGATCGTCGTTCTCATCAACCGCATCAGACGTCGTCCTCGTGGATGCTGAGGCGTGCGAGTCGCGAGAATCGACATCACTGAAAGAAACCAAGTATGGCTGGGCACGAGACCCGTACAACTTGAGGTCATTGTAGAAGATAAAGTCCGCCAGGGACATTGGTGGCAGTTTGCGTTTTTGACACCTGTTATACATGGCACGTACAGAATAGGATTAGTTACGCCCTCGTTCTGCCGTCACATTCGTTTTATGTTCTCTGATAAATGAGGAAAAAGAGAAGGTCGAAACAGAAAAAAAAAAGGAAAATAGGGGCTCTATCCAACTGTTTTTGCTGGAAAATGAACACATCACTGAAACCAGAACGAAAGCAGTCTGGGCTATCCAAAGCAAACACCCAGAAAGATACTCGGAAATGACGGAAGCATAGATCAGAAATCACAAACATACCGCTCGTTGAACCGCTCAAACCTCGTCCCCAAGGGCGCATCCACGTTCAGTAGCATGAAGAACGGCCGCCTCAACAGGATCTCCAGCGTCGTTTCATCGTAGATGTCCGTCAGGACCCAGTGCTCGCGCCATCTCCTGGTGACAAAGTCCAGGAGGGACTCGACGTCCGGAAAAGAGAGGCCCCGCGTGCCGATCTGGTCGGTGACGCTGGGCAGGAGACGGAGGTAGTCTGGCGAGAGATCGTGCGATGTGGGTGTCGACGGTGATAGTTGAAATTGCTGTGGCGTGGGGAGATGCAGGCGAAGGAATCCGTGGTGTTGGACCAGATACTCGGCCGTGGTGTGTTTCCCAGAGCAAATGGCGCCGCAGATGCCGACCAGCATTGTTGTGCTATCGTGAGAAGAAGGGAGTTTTGGGACAAGGCTGTTTGACTCGACTTGATACCTCGATGGATTTCTCTGTTTTCCCCTAGTCGCTGGGCTGCGTTGAATAAGTCGCTGCTGACTTCTCTTTTGGGCGGGATCTCCAGGCGACTCTTTTCAACCCCTGAGCTGGTGGAAGATTTGTGCAGCTAACTCTTGATGCTATTATTGCGGTTGTCTTTCTATATTGAGAACGCGTAAAGTGGTCATGGCCCCGCGACGCGTCCGAATGACCAGGTCTCAGTCTAACCCAAAGAGAAGCCCTCGGCATAAAGCAGCAGCAGATGACCAAGCCCCGGGCATGAATTCCGGCCCCCAGCTTGTATGGCTCCTCGCAACCTCCTTTACACATGGCTTGCCCCAGCCACTCTGCTCCACCACCACCGCCACGACGACACCACATGGTCCTGCCTAGATGATCTGATGATCCCAGCCAGGCTGACCTTGACCAAGTTTCCAACAATTCATCATCCTTACATTCGAATTGTTGCCGGTCAGAGCTTTCTTCTCCCACACAAGCACAGTCTTATCATTCTGGCATATCGAGTTTCTGTTCTTGTATGCTGAAGGGGAAAACCAAAGCAACCTTCGTCGACTTCATTAGGGGCCTCGCACACAGGTCGGAACAATGCAGTACGTTCCTTTCGCCTCCGACATCGAGATACCTTTCTACGCCTCCTTAGCGTCGCACAAGATCAACCATGACAAGCTCGACGACTCGGCCCGCAAACTGTTGGGTCTCTATGAGATCCGTCCCGCAGACAATAAGGAGCATTCCTGCCGCATGCAAATCCATGCCAATGCGCTGACGAGCGACGATGTACCCGCAGGCTTCTACCGCGCAGAGGGTATGATCAAAAACCTCAACACGATTGAAGAGTACCGCAACATAGATAAGCTAGCAATGATTCAACGGGCCGGCAAGACCATCTGGGATGCCATCAACGACGGCACCATCTACTCGTGCCCCAGTCTTCTCGCCTCCTTCCTGGTCCTCAGTTTCGCAGATCTCAAAAAGTACAAATTCAACTACTGGTTCGCGTTTCCCGCTCTCGTCATGGATCCGCCCTGGGTACCCGTGGCCGCTAGTGGAAGCCTCGCAAGTTCAGAGACCGGCATCCCGTACAGGAAATTGACCTCCATTGAGAGCACAAACCTGGTCGATCATGTCCAGACCTGGAAGTACGGCGTGGACTCGAGACAGCATGGATTTTTCCTGGTCAAAAAGGCACGGGATGCTCCGCTAGAGCTTACTTCTAACAATCCCGGCGACGACGACTTTGGGCCTACTTCTCCACAGTCACCTCTTACCCCAACCGCAAGTCTCGGATACACATGGCAAGTGGCCTCGTTATCGAGTTATGACACCGGCTTCTTCGACGGTGCTGACCCCGAAGACTGTTTTGTCGGGTTTGTCGATCCGTCTAACTACACCGAGCCGGGTCCTGTGGCGCCAGGATGGATGCTACGAAACCTCCTAGTCCTGGTCCGGCAACGGTGGAAACTCGACAAAGTACAAATCCTTTGCTACCGGGAAACGCAAATGCGACGGGACGCCGCGCGGAGCGTCATCCTTAACATGGAGATATCCAGACAGCCGTCGAAAACCAACAGCGGAGGGAACGCAGCCCAACCCCCAGATTATTCACAGACCATGCCCAAAGTCGTAGGCTGGGAACGAAATGCTCTGAACAAACTCACTGGCCGCGTGGCCGACCTCACTGAATACATGGACCCGACCAAACTTGCCGATTCATCCGTTGACCTCAACCTGAAACTGATGAAATGGCGCATCTCGCCTAACCTGAATCTCGAAAAGATCAAGGAGACCAAATGTCTCCTGCTCGGCGCCGGCACGCTCGGGTCATACGTCTCGAGAAATCTGATGGGATGGGGAGTCAGACATATCACGTTCGTGGACAACGGGACCGTCTCGTTTTCGAATCCTGTGAGACAGCCGTTGTTTACGTTTCAGGACTGTCTCGATGGAGGGAAGCAGAAAGCCACTGCTGCAGCGGAGGCGCTCAAGACAGTATACCCCGGCGTCCAGTCCTCGGGCCACGTGTTTAGCGTGCCTATGGCAGGACACCCGATCACGGACCCCGAGAAGACCAAAGCGGAATACGACACATTAAAGAAGCTAGTGGATGAACACGACGCAATCTTCCTCTTGATGGATACACGAGAGTCGCGATGGTTGCCAACCGTCATGGGGAAGGCAAAGGGAAAGATCGTCATGAACGCCGCGTTGGGCTTCGACACGTATGTGGTCATGAGACACGGTGTCCAGGCGGTTCCTACCCTGCCCGGCACGCAGAGAGAGGCCGCGCAGAAAGAGAACAAGGGCCAAGCGGAACTAGGCTGCTATTTCTGCAACGACGTCGTCGCGCCGGCGGACTCCATGAAAGACCTGACGCTGGACCAGCAGTGCACGGTGACGCGGCCGGGCATCGCCGCCATGGCCTCGGCCCTGCTAGTCGAGCTCTTCGTCTCCATCGTCCAGCATCCACGCGGGCCCGCCGCGCCAGCTTCGCTCTCGACCGACCGCGGCCGGGGCGACGACCCCCATCCCCTCGGCATCGTCCCGCACCAGATCCGCGGCTTCCTGGCCACCTTCTCTAGCATGACCATCACGGGCACGGCGTACACTCACTGCAGCGCCTGTTCCGACAAGATCCTCGACGCGTACGACGCCGACGGCTGGGCCTTTGTCCAGAGGGCCCTCAACGAGAAGGGCTACGTCGAAGAGCTCAGCGGCCTGAAGGAAGTGCAGAGGCTGGCTGAGGAAGCGGCCAAGGATATCGAGTTCAGTGACGAAGAAGGCGTCGAGGGCGCCGAGGATGAAGAGGGAGAATTGATTTGAGCGACACGACTGTACCGAGTAAGTAACAGTGGCTAGCTACCTAGCCTTGGTCACTCATGCCTTGTGTCGGAGATTTTCTAAGAGGGAAGATGGTAAGCAGCCTTCCATCACCTCACCGCTTATATAGATATATAGTGCCGATCAGCATTCCTGGTTTTTCGACCTTCTGTACTCCCTTCCCTCTCTTTCCCGCAGTATCTTCTCTCTTTTACCCCCTTCACAGGAAGATACAAACCATGTCCTAGATATCATTCCCTACCAAGTGGGAGAGTCTATGCTTCACGGCTCGGCAAACACCGCGTCCCGATCAACCTTTGCCAACCGCTTGATGCCCACGAAATACGCCTCGCGGGATTCACTCCGCGAGCTCTCGGGTTTCTCGCGATGGACCTTGTGGAACATGGCCTTGAGGCTCTTCTCCAGCGCCTTGTCTTCGACGCCCTGGTAGAATTTGCACACGAAATGTCCGCCGACTTTGAGCGTGTCGTAGCTGAATCGCAGGGCGGCTCTGCAGAGATCCTGCTCGTTTCCCAGGAAAGAAGTCAGCGGAATTGTTGGCGTGTCTGGGAATTTCGCGGAAAGTCATGATGATAATGTCGTGAGGGTTTGCAGAAGAGAACCAAAGGAAAAGGGAAAGGGCAAAAGTGGGTGACTCGAGCAGCCTCAGACAGACACACGTACCATACTTCCTGCATGATCGCGAAAGGCATTTCCACTCGTGTTCATCAACCTGCGATAAGGGTTACTGATGCTCTTCTTGTAAAGCCCTTCAAGCGGGTCCCAGGGTTCACACATGTCGCTCAACACCACGTCGACCGACTTGTCCAGATGTTGTCGATCTTGCTCTTCTTCCTCAAGCGTCTTCTCGTGGCTTTCGCGCTCGAGGTAGCCAGTTGCCTCATCCTCGAGCACCGCTTGGTCTAGTCCGCCATCTGAAGTTGCGGACGAGCCTAGCGTGAGTGGTTGCCGTAGACGGCCCCGGTCGGGGTTTCGCAGAAAGGACTTTATCTCGGCTTGAATGTCTGGGGACAGAAAGTCGCCTTGGATTGTCGACACACCCTTTGGCGGCTGGACGGGAAGGAGATCAACACCTAGCACTCGTCCCCGAGGCTTTGTCAGGTCAATGGCGACCTATGCAAAAGGCAGACATGTGTCAGTATTCGGCCCTCAACTCATCTGGCCCGAGTCCCCGCAGACATCGACCCGCAACCTCTCCGTTCGCATGTGTGGTTCTCTTCTTACCTGACTCCAACTCCCCGGCGCAAACCCCAGATCCACCACAGTCATGCCAGGCTTGAAAAGCCTGTATCGCTCATTGATCTGTAACAGCTTGAAAGCCGCCCGACTCTTCAATCCTTGGACTTTTGCGGCGCGAGCAAACTGGTCCCCTCGCTGCCGATCAGTCCAGCGCCGCGTGCTCGAGGAAGCGAAGCGTGCTCCTTTCGTGGAAGTCGAGGGTGAGAAGCGTAAAGGTGACGTGGAAGGAGATGATATACGACCAACAGGCAATGAGATAGAGTTTGGCGAGGGGAGACATGGTGTCGGACGTGGGTTCAGGGCAAGAGGACTGATAGAGGGATACTTGAACGTCGTGAGTGCGCTAGCCGAAGAGCGAACAATGCATGGATTACATGATTGCATAGCACGCTCTAGCGAGGCTGTCGAGCACTCAACAAGAGAAAAAAAAGCTGGGGTCAAGTATATCACAAAAACGAAATGAATTGCAAGAAAATAATGTGGTAGATAATCTGGTAGAGCACCAGCTTGGGGAAGGACATTTTTGCTCCGCAATTCAGATGTCATTGATCCCTAAAGCAGCGCCAGGCTTCATCCTCAGATAGGAAATGCCGACTGCTGCTAGATATTACTCCGAGTTATCGAGTTGTATCGACCACAGAATTTGCCAAATAATTCATTACATGTGTAGGGCTGTTTCCTATGCAAAGTCCTCCTGTGATTGTCCATACCATGCGACTCCGTGATCCGCTTTCAATGAACAACACTAGCAATCCTTCGGTCCTTCTTAAGAGGCGAGAAATCGGCCAGTGGTTTCGCTTTACCCACAGATTTTGCCTTCAGATTGACGCGACCCAACACCCCCCCTTTACCGGCGAGCCCGCCCCCTAGGCTCCTGATCTTCGGTGCGGGCGCGCTCTCTTCTTCGTCAAAGATATTGGCTCGCTTGGCCAATGTCCTCTTCTTTTTGAGAGGCTGTTCTGTATCCGAACCCATGGTGTCAGTTGTCTGTCCTTCTGTATTCTCCTTGTTCGTCCTCTGGCTTTCACTGTTATGCGTATCTTCTCCGTCACTTTCCATATTCGAATCCTGTTCAATGACTTTATCAGGAAGTGGATTTTTCAATGTGTCATTTGCCTTTGAATTGGTCGTATCTTTCAGAGGCTGGACGCCTTTTCGCCTGGAAGCTGGTCCGGTCGATCTTTTCGCAACTGCTTGCTTTTTCTTCAGCGGCTGAACCAGGGCCGACTTGCCCTCTTCCTCGACTAACCCATCCACGCGCTGAGTGGCGCTTCCGTTGTCGTCCTTTGAACCCTCAGCTTCGTGCTCGGCCGGCGTTTCTGGCAATATGCTAAGAGTGCGGTTCAGGAAGGGTGTGATGGAAAAGGTTGATTTATCGCCAACGTTCACTGAAATTCGAGGCTTCTTTGCCGCATGACCGCCATGCCCCGGTGTGCCGATGGTCATGTCTGGGTCAAACCTAGCGACATTTCTCTTCCTAGGATTGGCCGCAGCTCCTGACCCGTTAAGTCTTGCCTTGGTCAACTCGGAAGATTGCGCCATCTGCGCTGCCTGTAGTTTCTCGATTTCGTCTTGGGCTTCCTTGAGTTGGTCTTTTGTCGACCGGAGTTTGTTACGGAAAGCATCCAATTTTCCTTCCAAAACCTCCTTCTCGTTCTCCCAGTCGCTCGTTCTCTTCCTGCTTTCCCTTTCCGTTTTCTGGGCATCCCGCTGTATTTTCGCAAGCTCTTTTCTCAAACTCTCGACTTCTGCCATCAACTCCGAATCTTCACGACTGGAGGACTTTTCCTGTGCCTTAAGTCTCTGAACGGTTCGTTTTTCCGTCTCGAGCTCAACTTGAAGAGAACTGACTTCTCGCTGCAGAGCCAGCTTTTCGGAGAGAAGTCTTTGGTACGCTGAGTTTTGGGATCTGAGGTGCTCTAGTTCGGGCTTGAGGGTGTTTAGCTCTCTGGACAAAGCCAGCTTTTCGGCAAGAAGCTTGCTTGCGTCGCTGCTCGCTGCATTTAAGACGTTGACTTCTGTTTTTAAGTACTCGAGATCGCGTAGGCGCGCCTTGAGGTCCACCTGTGCTTGTTGGAAGTCTGCCTCGACATCGGCCAGACGTCCTTGAAGCTCCTCGTTAGTCTGCCGCAGATGATGCTGCTCGTCTTCGCCACTCTCGGCTTGTTCCCGGAGTCCGTCATTTTCGTGTTCGAGAAGCAGGAGCTGGACGTGCAGTCCGCGCACTCGCTCTTCTTCGTAGATGCGCTCTGCCGCTTTCAAAGCGCGCTCGTAAGCAAGTTCGAGTTGGGTGGTTTCGAAGGATTGTGCGATCTCTGTAGTGTCCATGTATGCTAGTTGTGAGTCCATTTTCCAATAGCCCTTCAGCGAAGAATAAGTTGCGTATGATACAGTTTAGTGATGTTGAGAATCCCTCCCGCAGTGTTTTCGGTTTATTTACAGCCCATCTGAAAACGGACTAGTGCTATTCTCTAGCACGGATTAATAGCAGGGTGCGTCGCCAAACTTTCCTGAAGAGCTCAGTCGGCACTAGCCTCGGCCACTTCGCCGCCGCGTTCTTCGGCTCCCGGTTCACGCTTGATCGTCCTTCTATGTAATTACCAACTATCTACAGGCACAAGGACACCGAGCGCCACTAAGTTTCATTCGTCCTCCGGCTGACTTCTGGTCACGATGTCGCGAAGTCATTGCCAATGCTTCGCTCTCATGCCTTTCTGCCCATTTTGTACTGATTTGGGAAGTAGGATACGAACAGTAGGAAGCAGATCGCTGACACAAAAATAGTCACTTGATTGCAGACTATCTGTCAAAACGCAAATCTTGAGCTTCATGCTTTCGTTGACATTTTGCAACATCTCTTGTATCCTAAAACCATCACATTCAGGTTTGTGTCTTTTGCGAATTCACTTCTAGAGAAACCATGTCGGAAGTAGTCCTGCCAACACCCACCTTGCTCAAAGAACGGCTGGGCAAGGTGGCTCTTGTGACCGGAGCAGCGAGTGGAATAGGCCTCGCAACTGCGCGACTATTTGCCCAGCACGGTGCAAAGGTTATTGTGGTTGATCTGGATGCAAAAAAGGTGCAGGCGGTGGCATCAAGCATTGGTCATGGGTGTGACTCTTACACGTGCGACGTGTCATCCTGGGAGCAACAAGTCGCCCTATTCGATTGGGTAACTGACACATACGGTCCGCCAAAGATAGTGTGTTTGAACGCTGGCATCGATCCCGAGCTTGCAACAATGGAGTCAGCGTCGGGCAAGGAGCGAGTTGCAAACAACTACCTGGGGGACGAATATGATTCTTCTGGCAGTGCAAGTCAAGCGTCCAAAGAGAACCGACCACTTCTCAAACCACCACCAAAAATGGTCTTCGACGTCAACTTCTATGGCGTCCTTTATGGGGTCAAATTGGCTGTGCATCATTTTGGGGACAGAAAAGGAGGCCGAATCATCATTACGGGATCTGCTGGCTCGTACATACCGGTCCCCTATCAAGATGTTTATGTGGCATCGAAGCACGCTCTCATGGGATTGATGCGCAGCACGTCCCGAAGAGAAGAGTTGAGGAAGAAGAATATATCGATTTCTATGGTCGGGCCTTGGTTCACACGCACTGGGTTAACAGCCAATCTACCTCCTGATGCATTCCAAGGATTCGAGGCAAGTGAACCGGAGGATGTGGCTTTGGGTATTGCATACCTGGCAACTGCAGAAAAAGATGTAGATATCAATGGCAAATGTCTGTGGATCAGAGGCAAGAGGTGCGTGGAGATTGAAGGTGCATATGAGAAATGGTTGGGACAAATGATGGAAATATAAGCACGGGCTTGCAACACTGTAGATGATCATGATGATACAAATATTTCGACTCCATTATTCCAGCAATAGACCCAATAACATGACATCATCTGAACGAGGGAAGATACAGTCTTCTTCTGCCATGTTCGCATAGAAACTCTCAGCGTGTCTCGTCCATCTCTTGTCACTGTGTCGCGTGACGTGAAATACATCGCAGTTTGCCAGCACGCCTAATGCAGGGAACGTCTCCATCCCTCTTACATTCGTCTACCTTGAATTTACATCAGACCAAAACTCGATTCTCCCAAATGCTACCAATTCTCACCCTTGCCACCAAAGCATGGCACGACTCAAATCGATGTCGGATCGGAAGCAGCTCTTCTCGGGCGCCGTTGCAAACACCAAAGCACGGGACGAAGCTACAAGCGAGACGACCCTAGACCTGCAGCTGGCCGGATTTGGCTGAAACAGAGGACGCTGGCACTCCCACCCACCTGGTCACTACTTTGGAAGAGGATCATGTCGTTGCACGGTCAACACAAGTTGAGCAACCCCCGACGACTCTGCAGACTCTGCTTTTGGTGAATCCCAGTGAACTGAAAGAGGTGGTACCTTCGGGCAAAGACGCCCCTCAATGCGCGTCGTCTGGGTTTCTGGCTGGCTCACCAAAAATCGAGCGCAGACTTGATGCTCTTGCCAGACCCACAGCAAATACCGCAGATACCCAACACCCGACTTACCTCTCAAGCCGTCGGAAGGGTGTCATTGGGATTGGGATGTTTCATGCTCTTTGTCAGCAATCACTGCACTGATACTGGGTGCCACCTAGCTGTGGGAGTAATATCGGGCTCTGGGGTGGACATACCATGGGCTCATGGTCCACGCCTGTGTGACTGATTCGGTGTTTGGTGACACCCGAGTGACCGGTTCTGACGGGACCTCCCCATGCTGGTACTCCTCGGTCTGGGTCTTCTGGAGCTGGCGCCTGCGTATCTTGCGCCTCTTGTGGAGTAGAGTTACTGTTTCAGGTAAGAAGATTGTCGTCTACTCTTCTTCTCGAGTCAGTTTTGCGAGGACCAAGCGATCCCAATGAACCAGTCAGATGGCAATGCCTGGAATCGGGATGGCTCCTGGCACCCTTTTCCCCTTTCCGGCATCTCGGCCTCAGGGCTTCAGAGAAAGATTTGGTCTTGTCTCACTCAACACAGTTATGACCATCAGGTTTGGAACCATTTTGCGAGGACGTTATTTCCTCGACCAACCCTATGGGGCTGCTCCACTCTACCTAACAATTTCTCAGGTTTGTGAACTCACAAGCTGGTAGACTCGATTTCCTCGCGCACACTCAAAGCAGTGAATCGAGCTCAATAATTTGAGACTTTCTTGATGTGCAGAGGACTCCCTCTAGCAGCGGATATGTCTTTCGCCGTCCCGATTGTTATCGGAAGGCAAAGAGAGTTTCTGCTTATTAACTTCGGCCACAAGGCTCTTCAGTCCATTGATCAGCTTGATAATGATTGTATTTCCCGATCCCGTATGGTCTGCATATTTGCCGAGAACCGATGTTCCGCTTGAAAGAGCCGGTTAAAAGCAGAGAGGTGTGATATGCACTCAACCTCGATACAGAATCTTGGATTCAAGCACATGCTGCTCATTTAGCGAGCCTTGCGCCGTTCATTGAGTCCTCAGCTGACTTCCTATGCAGGGATATTAGCTCAGCAGTTCTGCTTGGATTTTGGCCTTCTCGAGGGTTATATTGCAAAGATGGCCCTATTCTCGGGCGGGAGTTTGGTCTCTATTCGTTGTCATACCATTTTTGGAGATTGCCAAGTGATGACATGAATATGAGAGGATGCGTACCTACACATTTTCCACTGTGAGATTTGTACCGCAGCTTGATTCCAAGGCCACACAAGTTGAGAAGGAACTTGAAATTGCAAACCAAAAATCACACGCTGCGAAATGGTCTCACGAGAGGCGCAAGAAAAGGAAGCAGGCACTGAAGGAAGTTTTTCTGTCTGAGGATCAAGGTAAGTCGAGCCATCTCTGGTTCCTTGATGTGCATAATTCAGATTGACATGTTCCTCAATGCTCAGATGACCGCGCAAATGCCAAACATGAACACTTGTCAGAGGTCCGGGAGGACAAACGTGGCTATGGTGACTTCGCGCTTTACAGGGCAGAGAACATTTTGCAAACCACGACGTTCCACACTACCAAAGAGGGCGCCTCAAGTCTCCTGGAAATTCTCCCTGGCGGCAATTCAGACCCATTCAACGCTCAGGCTCTACGGATCACCCCCGAGATCAACAAACTCATAACGTTCATACGAGATGGCTATTTGCCGGGTGTCTATATCACTTCATACATGAAATTCAGAGACGCCCCGCGTGGAGCTCCAATGCTCACGACAATCGGTGAGGGATTCCACGTTTTTGGTCGACGTACTGTAGCGAAAGTGTGGAATTCAATGAAGGAAGAATTCTCCGATGAAGGACGAGCGCTGTCGTGGTGTTCAAGCTACATTCCAGTTTTGGCAAAGTTCTCCTCGCCAGATACGGCTCGAGATCTACATTTCCTGGCCATCAAGATGCGGACGAAGAGCATGAAGATCTTGAAAGATCGGATCGAAAAGCTATCTCTTGATATTCCGCCGGATATATCGTTGGTCTCACAGATTGTCTCGCTCTTTCGAGCAGCTTGCAAAGAGAACGACATCGCCGCAGCAAGGATCCACGCAAACATCATTCAGCGTCTGGTTGACAGAGTCGAGACTTCAAGTCTTCATATCCGGACGTTGTTCATGACCTGTATGAATAACGACACAGAATTGGCCATAGCTCAAATGCGAAACACCTTCTTCGATTTTGAAAACTGGGTTCAGAGACAGATTGCTCGATTCTGGGTGGAAAAACCTGAGACGCACATGCCCCCATTGCCTATTCAGTACAAGGCCCTCCATGATAGCATCCAACTGGATGCCACTCGCCAAGCGGCGATCAGGCTTCGACAGTACTTGCTCGTCCGGTCAACCACTGTCAATCTGAATGACCCTGTAGACCTTAATCGCACGGATGCGGTCTACACGATCTTCACAACCTATTCTCAGTACGATTCCGGAGCCTTGATTAATGCGTACATCAATCTCATCGCCGGTAGGGTTGATGGAATCTCAGCACCTTGTCGACTTATTGAAGCATCACTGGCCCTGACGACATTGCACATATTGCGACGAGGGATCTTTGAAGCCACTGTGTACGGTTGTGACCACCGAACTAGTCATCACATGATCACCATCAATCATCTCGAGGGCACGATGAGGAAAGCCATGAATATAGCAAGAGACGATGCACTGACCCAGTATCGTGACGCTCTCTTGTGGATATTTTTCTATGGCGCAAGGTTTGAGTGGCGGGTAAATCAAAAGATCAAAGGCATCATGCCACCAAGGACCTGGTTCACTAAGATGTTTGCTCGACAGGCAGAGATCCTGGAGCTCAATGAGTGGCCTGAAGCACGACATATCCTCCACCGCTTTGTCTTCTACGAG